TCCGATTTGACGGTATACACACATACAAAAAATAATAAAATAATAATAAAATAGAAAATAAAATAAAGATTATAAAATTCTCAACTTCCCACCACTTTTCCCAACTCTCAAGCAAAACAAATAACAAAAAACAAGAAACAAACTTGTTGCTCAACAAAGTATGAAACATTCAGCATTTTTAAACATCTGGCCCAAGAGGTTTCCATTAAAGACCTTCTTCACCTGAACCCAGGACAGCCTAATTTCCCATTGTCCTGGGATCTAAACTTGTTGTCCAGGCCAAAAGGCAAAGATTTGTATGTACAACCAAATCTTCCTTTCTGCAAAAGGCTCCTGAATACTCTCATAGGCTGCAGGCCACCTGTTACGTCTTGGGAGGACTCGGGCTGCAGCGTGGCCCTGCTTATCTTTATATCCTGCTGGTCTAGACAGCCAAGGGGAAGGCTTTCAGAGGCACAACCACAGCCCCTGGCCACGTTTCCTCCTCCTCCTTCCTGGGCGGCAGGTGGTGGGTGGAGTTTCCTTCTTCACATAAACTTTGGCCTCTTGCTAATGGGAATAACTTCTCACCTCTCAGCTGCCATTCCTCACCCAGACCAGCCCCTGTGCCAGGCAGGGTTGCAGTCTTCCTGCCTGACACACTCATCTCCACCCAGACACATGCATTCTCCAAGGTCCTGTGGGGTGAGCTGGCACCCTGCCTCCGTCAGTTCCTCAGAAGCTATGTGGGGACTCCGTGGCTCTGCCGCCGTGGCTGGTCCCTCAGTAAGTATGTGTCCATTCTAAGCCCCACAAGAGCAGAAGCCACGCTCTGGGCACTCATGAGTTTATGGCACAATTTCAGAACAAATGACTCATCCTGGGGGGACACACGCTGGTCTAATAGCCAGAAGAGGGGATGGTACCGCACAGTATCAGCAGAGGTGCAGCTGCCACCTCAGAAAGGAGAAAGGCCAGAGGCTTTCTGACCCAGCCGTCCCCAGCTGTGGTCTTCAGGTGCTGCTACCAGCAGCGAGAGAAGACAGGCCTCCACGCAACCCGAAAGCAAAGCATTTCTAGTAACCTTTCCCACGTCAACGTGGGGTCAAGCAAAGACACTATAACCATTAGTTTACATGGGAACAACTGTTCCGTGCTTCCAGACCAAAGAGTACCAAATAACACGTAACTTAAAGCAACATCACACAGTGTTCACAGACACAGTCCAAAAATTTGGTGGCCTGGTGCTGAGATGCTGAATGTAGTTCCTGGGGGACAGTTCGGGGCACCATTCTCGATCGCGGGGCACGTACTGCCTCTTTAAGGGCTGGATGCAGAACAGACACTGAACGCTCGCTCGATTCAATTTCCACCTTATTTCATAAACTCAAGAGTCCTTTTCTGGCTTCCTCATTTAGGGAAAATGGGTGCCAAAACAGGTCTTTTGTAAAAGCAAAGCTCCGTGAAGTGAACCTTCAAAGACTGAGTGACACTCGTACTTAAGTCAAAAAGGTCACTGGGTTTCATGCCAAGAGGACTTGGGGCAGAGGGTGGGGGTGAGACCCCCACCAACTCCGAGGAGGGTTCAGGCCCTGCTTTAGCGTGTGGCTTCAGCCCCACCCCGGGGTGCTAGGCCCTGAGGTTAATACCATCTCAGCTCCAGCACTAAAGTCAATTGTGTCCCCAGCACACCTCAGAGCAAGGGAAACCAGACTGACACTGACTGGTGTGCTCATCTCGACAACAAATGAGACAAAATCTCCCATAGGAGACAGGCCGTGCTGATACACTAAGTTCTGTGAGGAAAGGAGAGAGCACTTAGGAAGCGAACGTCAGAATGTCCATCCACAGGACTAGCCTGTACTCCCAGAGAAACTCTGGGATTCTGCACACAGCATTGTCCACCCTCTGCTAACCCCCAAGCAAGGGGGATGGGCTCATGCTCACGGTGGGTCACTAGCAACTCTGGAGTCACACAGAATTCAAGAGTCAGTGCCACCGACGTGCAGTCTGGCCCCCACCCTGTCCCAGCACGGACCTAGATAGCTCACTCATCCAGTCAAACTTCTCTCCTCCAGATTCCAGCCTCATGGATCCACTGTGGCCTTTGCTGGAGAGGTCTGGCCCCCAAGACCCCGAGGAGGGTCCTCCAGTCCCAGGTCAGGACCACACCTTCAGCGAGAACTAAGCTGCTCCACTCAAACCCCAGGCCTCCAGCAATGAGACACTCAGCCGCAGACCTGGCCTCGACCCTCTGGTCTCCTGGAGATAGCCTGACCATGAGACTGTCAAAACCATCCCTGGGCTGGCCAAGCATGAAGGTGGTGGGTGACCTTCCGATCAGGCGAGCCCAGAGCTCCCGCTCCACGCCCCCCCCCCAATCCCGAGCCTCACTCAGGCCCCAAGAATTGACTTTTTTAGGTCAGCCTAGTCCACACCCCCAGAGGTGACCCTCTCCTAGAGGGACTGACTCAGAGCTGGGATGCAACTTCCCTAGGCCAGCCTCGAGCCACGCCTACCCCGCAGAACCCTCCAGGCCGGTGGGTACAGATCTGGAGGAGACAGTGAACCACCCCCCAAGCTCGATCTGCTCCCCCCAGGCTCGAACCATGCCCAGCGTGATGACCTCCGAGGCTGGCCGGGCCACAGTGTCCTGGAACCTATGACCAGCTGACCACCCTCACGCGGGTCCAAATCTGGAAGAGACAGTTCCCCTCCTCCAGGCTCAATCCATACCCAGCGTGGAGACTTCCGAGGCTGGCCGGGTCCCACTGCCCTGGACACCACGACCAGCTGACCATCCCTGTGGTTCCAGATCTGGAAGAGACAGTTCCCCCTCCCAGGCGCTATCCCCACCCCCTCAGGCTCGATCCACGCCCAAGCTGACCACTCGCGCCGTGGGTCCAGATCTGGAGGAGCCAGTGCTCCCCCAAGCTCGATCTGCCCCCCCAGGCTCGATCCACGCCCAGCGTGGCGACGTCCGAGGCTGCCAGGGCCCCAGTGTCCTGGACACCACGACCAGCTGACCACCCGCACCGGGACCCGCGCCCTCGCGGTGCAGCTCGGGTCGCGCTCGCCTCCCCCGCTGCCCGGGCACCAGCGTCCACGCGCGGCCTCACCCTCGGCCAGGACTCGCCGGACCCGCAACCGCAGCTCGCCCAGCTCCACCGTCTGCCCCACGAAGTCATGCTGATCGCGGCCGGCAGCGCCGCCCAGCGAGCCCGGGCCGGCCAGGAAGTCCAGCGCGGACTGCAACAACGACATCGCGGCCACCCCCGCGCAGGCCGGACCCGCCGAGTGGCCGGGACTCCGGCGCCAGCTCCGTGAGGTTCCGCTTAGCAACCGCGGGTGCCCGGCTCCACCATCTTCCGCCCCGACGCGGTGACGTCGCCGCGCGGGCGTACGTCATCACGCGGCGCCGCGGCCCCCGCCCGCCCGGAGCCCCACTTCCGGCGCGCAGTCGGGACGCGCGTGCGC